TTCACCCTCATGGCACGCAAAGGTGTTCACACTCAGGAGGGAATAAATGTGGGAGATTTTTTGGGGTGGTCCATAACTGGGACCCCAGAAATGTGACCCCCAGCTTGGAGGGATTGTAGAGAAGGGGGCAGCATGGTGAGGTTTCCTGTGCATTTGGTGTGTGTAGCTTGCAGGGGGTCCATCCTATACACTTTTGAACCTGCACCTGACATTTCCCTCAAAAGCACCTTCGTGGCTTGACCTTAGTACTGTTGGGTTTGCACTGCCACAGTGGTACCGGTTCTGCTGGGTAAATTGCACTGGGTTCTGCCAGGCGTGCAAAATGCTCCCCCCTTCAGTTTCTACTGCAGAGATTCTCTGACTTGACCTTAGACCTGTTGGGTTTGCAGTGCCACAGTGGCACTGGTTCCACTAGGCATATTGCACTGGTTCTGCTGGACTTGCAAAAATCCCCCCCCCTTCAGTTTCTACTGCAGAGGTTCTCTGGGACTTTGATGCTGTTCTGCTGGGCTTCTATTGCCCTTGCTGTTTTTGCACTTTCCCCCCCTTTATTGGAAACAATGGAGGATGGGGGCACCTTCTTTGGGGGGTATAACTCAGATCCTGTAAATCCAATCCTCACCAAACTTGGAGGACAGGTAGAGGAGAGTCAGCCAACAATCTTTGTGATTTTGGTGTCTCTAGCTTGCACAGGATCCATTCTATACTTTCCTGAACCTCCTGAATCGGCACCTGTCATTTCCCCAGAAACAAATTTAGAGACCAGTGGCACCTTTAAGATCAACAAAGGTTTATTCAAGGTATGAGCTTTCATATTCATGCACACTTTGGAAAACCTTTGTTGGTCTTAAAGGTGCCACTGGACTCTAAATACTGCTTCAGACCAACACAGCTGACCACCTGGAACGATTTCCCCAGTAAGCAATTTCCTGGGGGCACCTTCTGTGGGGGGCTGTAACTCAGGCTCCATAAATCCAATCCTCACCAAACTTGGAGGGAAGGTAGAGGAGAGTCATCTGGAGATAGATCTCCTGTGAGTTTAGTGTCTCTAGCATGCTGTGGGGGCGTTCTACCACATCACGAACCTCATGAACCAAACTAGTTATTTTAGGGCCAAAAAGTTTGTGATGGTTTGTGATTCATGAACCAAGGATGCCACAAACCATGAATCAAACTGCATATACCTGGTTCTTGCCCATCCATAATCTTTAAACCTAACTGTTCGCAATAAGTGCCTTGGTTGACTTGAGAGGTTAGAAGAGTAGGCCGTTTTTAATGAAGGCAAAATGATAGTAGTGAGTCTGTGCTTCAGGAATGTGGGATGCTTGGAGTACTCTAAATCATGAGATGTGGGGCTCCAACCAGCTAAGGACTATATCTAATTAAACAGATACCTGCTACTCCATCTGGTAAAATGATCCAGTGGAGATGTTACGATGCAAATCATACACAAATTTCTATACCTTGGAAAAGGTGGGTTTGATAGCGGTACTCTTTCCAATATTTCTGGTTTACCTCTGGATCATGTGGGAAGCTGCAATCTAAATAGAACTTTATTAGCACCATTTTGAAAACATTGACTGTTTGATTGAAAGGATGTACAAGACCAGGAAGTTCATGGTAAAAGATACTTAGGCAATAAATGCCTCATGCCAGTACTGAATAGAACAAGAGAGAACAGTATTTTATGGTGTTTTCCTGGCTTCCCTGCTGTTTGCCCTCATAAGATGACGATTAGCTAGCAGTATTCAGGGGGCAAGAATTGCAGCTACAGTTTTTCCACCCTGAAGTTATCTGGTATTGTTCCCCCATTGCTGCTATGGCTATAGATATAGTGCATCAACAATTCAGCTTTCACACAGCATGTTTCCATACATGCTCCCCAGTCCCCTGTAAATGGCCATCCCTCGAGAGTTTTTTTCAGGGTTTTGGGTGTGTGTGTGTGTGGGGGGGACATATCTCTACAATGAAAGGGACTGGGGGATTACTTTTTCAATGAAAGTTGGGCACTGAGAGAACCAGATAGACCGATTATTATCTCTCCCTTATATATAAAGCCGTAGTGGGGCCCAACGTTCCAATTCACACCAACAGTGTTTGGAGGCTTGAACTGTCAGTCAGAAGACGCTGGCTGGGTTGCCTGGCTGCTTTGTGTAGTCCCACCCACGTCAGCCCCGGCCAGAATGTTCAGTCTGCTCTGGGCCTCTGACAGGAGAGGACCATATGCAGACTGAACACAGGGACGGGGCTTCTACGGCTAGGCCTCTTCAGCCCACTCTTCTCTGATTGGGCCAGCGTGTCAAGGTCATTTGCATATGGAAGCTGATTGGACTTCACTCCATTCCACACCTCAAACTCCCCCCC